TAAAATTGAAAAACTAAAAACGAAAATCATACCAATATCAATGCCAATAACGTTATTTTTGATGTGATTACACGATAGCAGATCATCAATAAACAGAATATAATTGAGTCGTTGTGGCACACGCGGTACTAAACAGTCTGATGGCAGCTCCACACTCAAGCCAAAATCATTATGCAGCATTGTACGTGCCAAACATCGGATTGCATCCAAACTCCGAAAATTCAACGACAACTGCAAATAAATTTCAATATCGATAGAATTTTTTCGTCCCAAAGAAGATCCACAATTTTTGTTTTGATTTCCAAAAATGATTCGGGAATATACGTTAAGCTCAGTGAACGTTTTACGTAAACGTGTAAAGTTTGATTAAGAAAGGTAATGAAAAAGCAAGTAACCTTTCCATTCGGGGCCACAAAACAGTGCGAACGAAAATCGGAGTATTTCTCGGCGAGTTCATTGAAATTCGGTGGCTTGTCCTTGTAGGGATTACGCGGATGCATCATCTTATTGAACGCCATCCTCTCGGTTATCAACCAGCGAATTTCTTTGTTTTTCCTATCAATTCAATAAAAAATATTAATCGTGAAATTATNCCATCCTCTCGGTTATCAACCAGCGAATTTCTTTGTTTTTCCTATCAATTCAATAAAAAATATTAATCGTGAAATTATTTGAAACATTAATTGTCGAATTAAATCGGAATACACGAAGTGAGATTCATGATTAGAAGTATCAATGATTTCCTTTGAGCAGGTCTCGAAAGATGATCGACAACTGAAATTGATCACTGACATGCAATGCAGTTTAGAGACGATGATAGATCTGAATTCATTTCGGCATCGAGAGGTGATAATTTTGGAGAGATGCAATAATCTGTGATAACTTCAAAACAATATGATTCAGCACGTAACACAGATAGACAAGATTTTTAGCATTATCACTAAGTGATAAGAGGAAATATTCTGTTGTGCGTGAAATATTACAACACCACGCATTCGAAAGGAATGCTTCCCGATGCATGAGCGACTGAGAAAATTACTAACGATAAGTAAACAGGAATCGTGCAAAAAACTCAAACAAATAAGGAGATCAGTCGAAGTGGTGAATCATGCAAC